AAGTTGTAGTATTTAAATCTTTGTTTAAATATAAATACAAAAAAAAAAAAAACAGTTATTTTAAGTTGACTAATGACCTCCTATATGAAGTAAATATCTTTTTTTAGTCTCTCATTTACTTTGGCAAAAAAGGTTTGCCACTGTTGATTATTTTTGATTATTAAAACTACATGTTTTGAAATATGTGTTCGAAGCTTACTAGATCTTAATAATTATCAAAAAAAAAAAATTTTAAGTTGTATGATGTTTGAAGAGTAAAAGGCACATAAAAGCCAATTAAATTCAGAAATCCATTTGTAGATCATTCTAGAATGTGATTTCTTAATTTGGTAAATCTCCTGACTGTATTATTAATTGAACCTAAACATGTTCATAAACTTTGAACCAAACTCAGACTTGAACCAACATTCTAGATTTGAGTTCAGTTCAAGTTTATAAATTCTAAATCCAGTTCAGATTCAAGTTCAAAGATCTGCAAAATTTAAAGTTCAGTCCAGGTTTAATTGAACTTGAACCCAAATCTAATTGAATTGAACTTGAACTTTAGAACACTAGTTATTTATATAGTTACTAAACAACAATAAATTTAACTAAAAATAATAGACCCAATATTGCTATCAGTTTCAAAGATGTTCAAAATAATTTGCAAGTAATAGATATTGTTGATAATAATTATTTTTAATTCTTGATAATAATTATTTAAATCGTTTTCTGTACGAGTATATAAAATTCTTTTTATTTGGTTCATTATAAGTATTTGATGTTCTTGACTAATACCATGCTTTGAATTATAAAGCCAACACCAGAATGCCTGCAATACATAAAATATGCATAAAAGTAAATTAGATTGTGGCCAACAAAGTTTCAGTGCATTTTGTTCTGCAGCTACATTATCAGTTAAAATATTTTGGAGCCCAATATTACACCTACAACCAAAAAATGCATGTTTAGAAAGAATAGTTTTAAAAGATTAATTACATTTTCAATTGTTATTTCAAGTTTATTAGATGTAATAAGTAATCCTAGTGACAATACACCTGCTATACAATTTGTATACAAAAGTGTCATTGATGTATTAAGTAGTTTAAATGATGCGAATACATCTATATAACAAATTTTACTAGCTTCCTAGATTTTCTTATGCACCCTATTCATTAACCCAGTAATGGTATATTATATAAAAGCTTTTTTAATTCACGAATCATATTTTTAAAAAATTGCTTGACTATAACCTGATATATTATAATTTGAAACTGCCTCATTTAAATACTAAAACATTACTGCACCATTTTGTTTACCCAGAAAAAAATTACGATAGTGTTTAAAAAGGTGTATGACATAGTTATAACCTGGGTTAATCGCACGATCAGTAAGACTTTTAACAAGTTTTTCATTTGATAAAATTAAAAGATGTAATTCATTTTCATGATTATATAAAGCAGAGACAGGTAAGTGGCTATCACAAAACATTTATACAAATTTATTGCAAATTTCTTTATACACATGTCTAAAACTAAGTGACTCAGCTGAATTAACAATATGATTATGTTTAAAACAAATATTGACCTCTAAAGAATAGCTAGTATTTAAACACCAACATTCTAATCGCAAACACAAAGTTGCTGGACTATTGGTATTTCTATTATATACTAATTCTGGATTTTTTTCTTACAGAATTATTTTGTTTTTTCTAACAATTAGACTATAAATACAATGCTTTGATTTCCAGAAAATAACTCGTTTGCCTTTGACTCCATATCCTTTAGTTTGTAGCATTTTTGTTTTCGAGTATTCTTTAAAAGCAGTAAATCATATTTTTATATTTTCCATAGTTAAAATATAAATGAATGTGTTAACTTCAAATTGCTATATTTCAAAACTCTCATGGGTATAATATAATGGCAATTTTATTATGTATTGAATCATATAGCTATAATTCATAGACAAAATAGCTTGCAAAAAATCAGATAATAAATCTCAAGAAAAAATCTAAAAATATATATATTTTTATTAATGTTATAATGTTATTATATTGCGAAAAAAACTTATATTGCCTCTTTAAAATTTTGATTTATCTCATAAGGATTTTTGTTATTCACATAATCAACAAGATTCATAATGTCTTGGATTGCTTCATAAGAATTAATATTCAATTTAGTATAGTTAATCTTTATTACTGTATATAGTAAAAATAAAAATACAAAAATTCACAACAGTTAAATACTAATTAATAAACAAAAAGCAAGCATAACTTTAACTCACTTCAATGCCATTATCTACTCCAATGCCTTTAATACCATTATCTGCTCTAGTGCTACCAATATCCTTATCCACTCTAGTGCCTTTATCAATAGCTAGAGTATTCATTTGCATTATATCATTTATTAGCATATAGTCTTTATGATTTGAGAATGTGTCTCTTGTATGACTTGCGAGTGCATTAGATGAATTTTCTATATAATTTGCAGATGAATTTTCCATATAACTTGTAAAAATATTTTTCATATAATTTGCAGGTGAATTTTCCATATGACTTGTAAAAATATTTTCCATATGATTTGTAAAAGTATTTCTCTCTCTATAATATGCAAATGCACCCTTATCTTCCAAAAAGTCAGTAAATAAAAATGTCATGCTTTCGTGAATGCAATGGTTAATTTCTACTATTTTTAAAATATAAAAGTAATATGAATTATACATAAACTGCTATTTTAATAATAAATTCTAAATCCACTAATTACTTATGTAAAAAAAATTTTTTTTATTTTTTGCCTGCAAGTTATATCCCACGTTCTAATGATACTACGTTTATATCCTTGGAATATTCGAAGGTTTGTATTTATTATTTTATATACCTATGTACCTTTATTCTTATACTACGCTCCACCTTTTCAACACCTAACCTCCTCTTTTTCGCTGCACTTCCTAATCACACAAATAACGATATTTCTTTGTGCTTGTCTTATTTAGGGTAACGAAGCAAAGGTTCGATTTTCAATATCGAACTTCATATTTATTAATTTTTTTAGTATATGTATATACAATTACATTATTGATTGTTCGACTCAAATTGACTTTAAATTATTTAGAATAGTCAGTCATTATTATGATTTGAGTCATTATATTACGATTTGAGTCACTATATTATGATTTGAATCACTATATTACGATTTGAGTCGTTATATTACAATTTGAAACATTATATTACATCAATATATTATGATTTGAATCGAACAACTACCCGGCACAAGTATGTACGTACCCTTCCCGACACTAAGTACCTGTGTAACCAATCATACATCACTCTGCATGATTACATCATAATTGCACTGTTACACAATGCTGATCGACATAACCTGGAGGGCAGGGACCCGTAAAAATTTTGTTAAAAAATAACAAATCTTTATATTGATTTTTGTAAAAATTGTGATTTATTTTGAT